ACATCAGGGAGTGAGACCTGTGGCGGTTTAGCTCCTGGCTCCTGGCTCCTGGCAGGAGAGCCCCCTATAAAGCAGACCCATTAAAGCACTCCTCCTACCCCGAGAAACCGGAGTTAATCAGAACCAGAGATTTGGATGGAACCACTCGCTAAACACCCGGACCACACTGTGCTGCTCCTGGATCCTGGAGCTTTAAAACAGTGGTGGAATGTGATGGAATACGTTTACCGAAGTACAATTTAATGTTTACTGTACTTTACCTATTTTCATTGTATGCTACTTAATACTTGTATTCCACTACATTTTGGTAGCCAAAATGGTATTCAAAAAAATCAATCAACTAAAAAATAAACATTGCCATAATATTGGTTAAAGAATCCAGCAGCAGTATATAAAGTAACCAAAATGAAATCCACATTTACTAGCTTTGATACACAATAATGTTAAAAATACTTATAACCCATTCATATAATATATGTGATTAAAAAATGGGCCATAACACATAATGTCTACTAATCTCTAATAAGTAAGATTGCAAATACAGGAATTTTACTCGTAACAGCATTTTTACAATTTATTATTGCTATTTTCACTTCTGGGAAAGATTTGATGACTTCTTCCAACTCCCCCCAACAGTAGGGTTTTGACGTTTCCACCAACAATCCTATGTACTCGACAACAAACATAGCAGATCTGTTGGCAATTCATATGTGTTTTCGGCTTACATATTGGACCAGCTGCCTTTTTAGCTTCGGCGACATGCATGGCAGCAGCTCTGTTCTGATAAACTACACATTACTGTTCAGTTGCATATACGTGTCCCAAGATATACGGCTATGTTACATCATAGCTCTCTTCCATCCTGGTCTGTGTTTTACTTCATGAATGCACGTGTGGGTGTCTGCTACCAGGAAGGCCGTGCTTCCCCTGAAGCCCCAGGGGTCCAAGTCTGCTAAATAATCACTTTCCCAGCTCCTACACACATTTAGCCACGTTTCATGCTACTACAAAGTCCTGTATTAATAGACTAAGATATGGAGGTAGTTGGTATATTATATTTTTAAAGCCCAACATCTAAGTTTGTGAAACTGCTTCAAAGGGCTTGAACAACAAATAACAATCTCAAATGGGGGACAAAAGGAGGGAACATTTGGAAACTAGAGTAAGTCTTCTAATTCAACATAAGAAATCCTTCTCGAAAAAGACCAAAACAACCAATTAGTTTACTCTTCATCTAAAAATGTAATGGGGCAGCCCTACATTTGAAAAAAGTAATTTACAGTTTTAAACATGTGGTTACAGTTGTAAATAAAACAAAACAAAACCAAGGCAGATTTACGGAGCCCTGAGGCCTGTACTACGAAGCCGGATTTTCGCTTAGCGAGCTAACTTCAGGGAAAACTCTGGGTTTCCGGTCCTACGACGCTGGTTCTCTTTTTAGTGGGCTAGATCTCCATGGTAACTTATGCTGAACGGCTAACCTGGTCCGGAGCAGGTTAGGTTCCAGGATAAGAGATCAACTCAGTGAAAGCACCGCCTCAGCTCAGTGTGCGGAGTTTAAAGCTATCAAGTCATATTACAGGAGAAAGGAAATACAGAAAAACTGCCGTTGCAGGAAAGACGGCCGGCAAAAATCAACTGACTGTGTGAACGTGAACATTTATAGAATATCCCCTCCCATCTTCAGAGCAATCTGACTATTATAGCATTAGCGTTAAGAAAGCTTACTTAAATATCTGCCACAACACAAGTAACCGGATCAAAGTAAAATGACGTACTGTGAGTGCAGACTTCGATGTGTCCCATTATCATTCATATCACATCATAATGTATAATATATTTCCTTATCTGAGTCAGCTTCTTGAGCCGTATCTGGCCGTGCAACACTTACAGTGTCACATACTGTATGCAGAAGTATTATTTTAAGCAACACATTAAAGGTCCCATGTCATGCTTTTCTGGTTATTACCCGTCCCCTTGTGTGTTATGAAGGTTTTTCTGCATGTAAACGGTCTGCAAAGTCACAAACCCTCAAAGTACACCCTGTAGCGAGTAAAACTCTAACACAGAAAAGACCTGTCTGTGCTGCCCCAAAACGCAGAGATTTTTGTTTTTCCATTGTTTTCTTCCTGGGTATGGTGACGTGCCCATACCAAAATGGACCCATTGGTCCAAAATGGACCAATCCGTGGAGCTCCTCACACACACACTCTCTTTTAGCAGCGAGAATGTGACGCACTGGGGGGGGGGGTGCTAGTGGAGCCTCGCAGCGCGGCAAAACTGTGGCGCGCTTACACTGTAGGTGCGCCGGGTTCGGGGGTGCGGGGGGGGATGCGGGTGCTAGTGGAGCACCCCCCCTTCCCGCGTCCATTTGCGATGTCTCGCAGCAAGCAGGAAACCACACCAGTAAGCCAGCTCCTCGCAGCAGCGAGCCAGTGGGCGAGCTGACCAATCAGAGCACACTGGGCTCACAGGGAGGGGGGGGCAGAAAAAGTATCTTGTGCGCACGAAAAAGTATCTTGTGCGCACGAGAAAGTATCTTGTGCGAACGAGAAAGTATATCGTGCGCACAAATTAATAAAGCGTGGCCTCGTTTTATTTAAATTGAGGCCACGAATTACATCTCGTGCGCACAAATTACATCTCGTGCGCACGAATTAATACAACGTGACCTCGTTTTATTCATTTTTCTCTCTATGAACCCTCCAGGGCTCCGTACAGATTACTTGGGTAGGTAAAGAAAAAAGATAATTGATCAGATTTGGTCTATGTATTACATTTACACAAGTTAAAGAGGACTTTTTGTCTTATACAGAGACACAAACGACAGTCTCCTGTAATAGGTCCTGTGTTTGTGTCACACCAACATGACCTTTCTTTAAGTAGATTTCAGCAGACTTTACATTGTATTAGTAATACACAAAAATACCATAATAAGGGAAAATAAATATCCTTCGAAAAGTAATTGTCAATTCAGTTTTGTAGTACGGGAACACATATGAGACCGAGCAGCAGAGGAAGGACTTATATTAGGATGGGTGGAAGGATGACTGTTATTTATTTTTTCAGTTTGAAATCTGCAACATTTCAATCCCTCCTCCCAGCTTGTATATGTTTGTCACATGCCTGAGTGCATGCAGGGTGCTGTGGGAGTGAATCGCTGCAGCTCTGTCCATCCGGTGGAGGCCAGAGGCCAGCAGGTTTCTCGGACATAGGCAGGAAGCCTCTGGACCTCCCCAGGATGTAGCTGTCGGCTGATCCCCCTCTGGGAAGGGGAGGAGGCGAGGAGGAGACGGCAGAGGAAGAGGAGGGGAGAGGAAGAGAAATTGGCAGGTGTGGATGGGACAGGAGAGTGGGGGTTGGGGGCTCTTGCTGGCCGATGGTGACATTGGGGAGGTCTGTTATACAGATAAAAGAGCCCCCTCTTTCTCCTTCAGTCTCCCTCCATCCTGTAAGAGCTGATTTGCAGCTGTAGGCTCCTGTAATGCATTTAAGAGAAGAAAGTCAGAAAAGGAGAGATGCATAACCTGCGCGCGCACATGTCCTGTGTGCACTTTTCTCCTATGACTTCATGCAGCACTGAATAAAGGCCGCTACATGACAGAAACTCAACACCAGTCCTTTAATGATGAACACCTCTCGCGCTATTTATAGCAAGAGCTCAGTGTATAGATTCCACATGTTCACTAAATCACTTTCTGCTGGTGGTGTAACGTCTGCGTGTGATACAGCTGGATGACCTTTCACCCCCCCCCCTCTCTCATTCACGTAGAAAATCAGCGCAGACACAGGACAGAGCCTTTGTCTTTTTTCTACATCTGCCATACAAGATGGAGCCCAGATCTGTTGCTCGGTTTCTTTGAACTGCATCAACTATCACTGAAGTTGACAGCCGAGTGGTGAAATGTTCTTTGAGCTGGCACTGTGACGTGATATCAGCCGGAGATGGTGGTAACCTAGTTTCTTTTTGTGATAACTTGAAAAATAGCACAGATCTCACCGGACGTCCATATGGAGCATTCCTTACTGAGTGTCTGATTTCAACCTCGTTAAATTGGTTGTGTGTTTCTTTTTTGTTTTATTCTATGCATCACTTACAGTCTGTTTTTTTACAGTGTTGAAGTCGGTTTCTCTTCTCGTGCGTCCGCCCTGCATGAATGGTGTTTAGGAAACAGAGAGAACAGGAAAGGCAGAGCAGGCCGGGAAGAATAGAGGGATATCCCCTTACAGGGTTCCCTCCTTTTTCCTCCAGGATAGAGGGGGTGAGAACTTCGGAAAGGGTGGGGGGATGGTAAATCACACCACCTGTCCACACACAAACCTGTGCACATGCGTTCCAAAAAATCACATGTGAATACAAACACAAGCATGCATGCCTCCGCTCTGAGGTCTGTCTGCTGCTGAGAGAGGTCCTCTCTCTTTCCCTTTGTGTGTGTCTGTGTTTGGCTAGAGACCCTCAGATTAGCCCTATGTGGCCCAGATTACAACCGGATCAGTGCTGGCACATATTACACCAGCCTGTGAACCTTCATTGGGACAGTGGGCCAGCCTGGGCTTTAGGGGCTGAAAAACCCATTTAATTACACTTCAGTGGAGAGGAGAAGTACAGTCACTGATTTACACAAGCTGTTGTTTATACTGTTGTGGTGTGAGTAACGCACGCAATCCCGGAAGTGTCAAAAGGATAAATGCATGTTTTGTGAAGCGGGAGCTGGGAGTGGAAGGTTTTAGTTTACAGTGTCACATTTGCTTTCCCCAAACAAATGTGACTTTTATGGGGTCTGCTTTTACAATCAGCACTCTTCCCCCTAGTGGCTGCAAAGGGAAACACACACGAGGGAAACACACGGATAAATCCATCTGACAGTACAGGAATAAACCTTGCAAAAGGCTCTCTTGATGACGTCTCATCCGTAGAAAAACCTATTTTTCAATCTGCAATTTGAAATGAAAACCTCTTATGTAGTGGCTGATCATTTGTTTGTTTTGTCTCATCCAAGGTGCCACCAGGGACGTCGGCTCAGCTCTGACTAGGATGTGCATGCGACACCGCAGCATTGAGACAAAATTACGCCACTTCACCAAGTAAGTGTCACTGGCTTCCCCCCCCCCATTGCAATTTTCGTACCTCTCTTACTTTGAGAGGATTATTTTGATCCAAGGTCCCATCCCATCCCTGTTGACCTCCCTCTCTGCCACTCTTCACTGAGTGTTTTTGCGCCATGGATGGAAGTAAAGCTATTTGTTATGCCTCTCACTCTCTCTTCTCACACTGTGCCTCCTTGTCACTGCAGTGCTCTTATGGAAGGCCTGGTTACGCCTCTCCAGGACAGAATAGAGGAATGGAAGAAGACAGCCAATCAACTGGACAAAGACCATGCCAAAGGTGAACAACATGGAAATACAAACTATAAATATGTGTTTGTGAGAACTGTAAATTTGACAGGAGCTGACTTTTTTTTTGGTTGCTCTACGCAGAATACAAGAGGTCTCGTCAGGAAATCAAAAGGAAGTCGCTGGATACCATAAAACTCCAGAAAAAAGCAAGAAAAGGTGAGAAAACACTTCCCACTATGGCAAGAATGTGTAATTGATCAACCTCCCACACCTTCATTGACATTTTAAGGCAGATATTAATGAAGTATGCTGTGCTGCTGGTCTCTTTTCTGCTCTAATGGTTCAGATTAAACTGGCGCCATCTAGAGTGTAGCATCAGAAATGACAACTCAACCAAATTTCAAAAGCTCCTTTCCAGCTTTGGGTGATTTACAGCTTCTACCTCATAAATCAAAGAAATTATCTTCTTTCCTGGCTGTGTTTGCATTAGCCCCTACTGCTGGATGTAATTAAACGCCTATTTTCATACAGGATTTACTGCAAGCCAGTAGTACGGTCTGGTCATAAACATGCAATGTGCCCTGATGTGATACAGCTAACATTGCCTGTTCTTCTGTCTCTCCTCCCCTGCCTGTCCCTGCAACCTCTCCTCTATTTCTTTCTGGCTATTTCCCCTGGCTGTAGAGCTTCTAGGTATGTCTGCTGTGCTCCATGACATAGTTTTTAAAGGCATTGTAATCATTCTTTAAACAAACTGCCAGTAAAAAAACTGTGTTTTCTTAGCATTTTTTGTTTAAGAAAAGGAATTGTTTGACATTTTGAGAAATTGGATTATTGAATTTCCTGCAGAGAGATGAGAAGAGGATAGCACTCTCCACTGAATGCTAAAGAGGCTACCACCAGCAGCCTTTTAGATAGCTTTAAACAAAGGCTGTAAACAGGGGGAAACGGCTACCCTTGCTTCAGTAACAAAACTACCTATCAACCTTTTTTATAATAATCTAATTCATCTCTTTTTGTATTCATACAAACAAATTAAATTGTACAAACTACATAGTGCTATGTTAGTTAGTTAGTTAGTTAGTTAGTTAGTTAGCTAGCTAGCTAGCTTGCTCCTTTTCCCTGTTATTAGCCTCTATGCTAACCTAAGCTAACCAGCTGCCCGATGTAGCTTTATGTTTTGATTGGTGTCTTCTCATTTAACTCTTAAAAGAAAGCAACTTTCCCCAAATATCTAACATTGAGTAATCTTTTACCTGAACTTGAAACTCATAGTCGAAATCCAAACATTGAAGATGTAAGTTATACATGTAAATAAACAGGCTTAGGTCATGGCAGGAATAGAACAGGTGTTCCTAATGGCATTACCGACAGCTCTGTTCTATTTAAGTATCCACAACGCAGTGCAACAGGACCCTTAAACTGAAGCAGCTAAATGGTATTTATTTAGCCATCATAAAATGTATCACTCATTCAAATGCAGCCTTTCAACTCCCTAAAAGCCTCTTAATAAAGTAAGAACTGCCACTTTTTGGCAATGTATCTCTTAGACAATCTTTCATTCCTCTCAGTAATTTTAGCGTCTTTGTCTTGAGCTGACATTTGGCTCCCCTTAGCTAAGTGCTAAAAAACACTCCCAGAGACCTAAACTTTGGTTTTAAGGGCCTATTAATTGGCAAGCTGTCATTCTCATGGGACTCTTAATTTAATCAGTGTCATATTATACGCTGGTGCTCTGCAATATTAGCCAATTAAACTGCTATTTCTAAAACGCATAGAAGGTGCCAGTCAAAGTATAAAAGACAATAGGACTGTTGGAATAACTATGATATAAGAAACATAGCAAAAACCAAATCTGTGCAATCGTTTTCTACATAAGCTGATGAAAGATATTTGTTTTCTTCAGTTGGGCTATAGACATTTTATAAAGAATAAAACATGGGGTAGACATCTGGAAAAAAAATCCAGATTGGTGGATGACAGGGGTCTTGTTTAGTACAGAATATCTGCAGACAAAACTATTTTTCTTACTTATATTTTTCAAGTTTATAGATAGTTACAATGAGTGCATTGTTTAAGATTAAACCAAAAATGGTAAGATATATCAGGTGTTTTCTTCTGGCAGAAGTTGACGCCTTCAGTGACAGAAAATATGGCATCTCCATTGTCATTTTCATTGCAACCTTTTATTCTTTTGCCTTCCATCCATCATCTAGTGTCATTGTGGTTTGCAATCATGAATAACTCTTTAGAAATTCTCTTAACATCCATTTCAGGACATTCAAGTCACCACCAGTTGTTTTGCATCAGTTCACGATTGTTGACATGTTTTAGCGTCCACTCATTCCCATGAACATGAATCATTTGAGTGTAATGTTTACACAGCAATTTATCATTATGTGTTCTAATCATCTCTCGTTTTTTTTTACTCTTTCCCTCCTCCCTGAACTATGTCCACTTTTCTTCCTTCACATCGTTATCATCCGCCCCTCAATTTCTCAATCTCTCTTCATTCCTCCTCCTCTCTTATCATTCTTTACTTAACCCTCCTCACATCTTCCCTCCCTCCGCCCTCCCCTCTTCTGTGTGTCTGCACCCTTTGCTTTGCATTTTAATAGGCCGGGGTAACTTGCGCCCCCAGCTGGACAGTGCCATGCAGGACGTGAGTGACATGTACCTGCTGATGGAGGAGACGGAGAAGCAGGCGGTGCGCAGAGCCCTGCTGGAGGAGAGGGGGCGTTACTGTACTTTCATTACCCTGCTGCAGCCTGTGGTGGTGAGGAACATTTAGACTGTGTTCACCTCGCGGGTGTAAATACATGTTTTGCAGATGTGGGAAGTAGTGGAGTACAAATACTTCGTTACTGTACCTAAGTACATTTTTCTGGTAACGTTACTTTACTCCACTACTTATTTTTCTGATTACTTTTTACTTTTCTTTCATACATTTTTAACACAAATGCCTGTACTTTATACTTCTTACATTTTCAAAACAGGCTCGTTACTTTAGTTTTAATCTGTGTTTGGAGGCATGATCATTATTATTTAGAGTCATTGCGTGTCTATTGATTTGAACACGATCCGTGTATCCATCATTTCCTGGTCTTCTCTAAACAAGAGGGACCAATGAAAACGTTGTCATTTTGTCGTTGTTCAGCATCAAAACGTTCATTAGCTAACAATGACATTATTGTTCTATTCATATAAAGTGAGGTCAGGTACTCTTTAAAACTGTTGGTAGTTATGGGTACTTTTTACTGAAGTACATTTCGAAGCCCATCCTTCTTTACTTTTACTTGAGTAAAGAAGTTTAGTCAGTACTTCTACTTTTACCAGAGTATTTTTAAACACGAGTATCTGTACTTCTACTTGAGTAAAGGATGTGTGTACTTTGCCATCTCTGATGTTTTGCTTTGTTGCTGATGTAGTCTCTGTTTAATTTGACCCATCCTGTTTTCCCCCTCCAGAATGCAGAGATAGCCATGCTGGGAGAAATAACACATTTACAGCCAATTGTTGATGACCTCACTTTGCTGACTGAAGACCCCCACAAGCTGCCACCCGCCAGTGAGCAGGTAAGGGCTGATAATGATTCTACTGATGCTGCTGCTACACTTATTATCTGACATGCACAGATGGGCAGGTTATTTTGATCAAAATCAAATCCACTTTGTGTGATTACAGTTCACAGTTTTAATGAGTCTGTTGATTCTATCCTTTTATAATAATGATCAATAGGATCAAAACAAACACATAATCGATCCAACAAACAATCATTTTTGGTATAACAAAAGCCTTACAAAACATACTTTGTGTCAGGGGGCAGAGAAGTTCAGATTTATTTACTCTTATGTTTTTATTTTACATAACTAAGACTATAGACGAGACTATTATTCCAATAGAGATAAATGACGGTGTCCCTGGTATATTATATACAAAAATAGGTCCTGTGCCTTGGAGCATAACATGCGTGGCTATATATGCTCGTGAAAAAAGTTGCTAACACATAATTATACTATTAACTCCTTATTGAGTAACACTTGCTTACAAATACAATGCCTAGCTGTTTCAGGAAATTATAAAGCCTTTTCTGAAATCGACATACCTTCCCTATTACGATTGCACCACACCATGGCTAAGCTGAGTGATTTCAAATGAATTCTTCCCCCTTGAGCACAGCTTGTCGAATAACTTTTGAGGGGGATGAGGATACAAGTCATAATTAGCATTTTTTGTATTACTATTTTAACAATTACACGTATATATCATCACCATCATGATTATGTGTTGCCGCAGGTCATCCGGGACCTGAAGGGCTCCGACTACAGCTGGTCCTACCAGACCCCTCCTTCCTCCCCAAGCAGCACAGGCTCCAGGAAGAGCAGCATGTGCAGGTATAAACACACTCGTATACACACACCCACCCCTTGTTGCTCTTTGTTCTCTGTTCAACGTGCATTTAAGCAATAGCTCACGACAGGCCGTGGTATATGCTCATTATATCACAGCTAAGGGGCGTGGTTCGGCCCGACGCGAAGCGGAGGGTCGACAACCCCCTTAGCTGTGATATAATGAGCATATATCACGGCCTGAAGTGAGCTATTGCTTTTATAAAACGGTTACCAAGTGTGGCAATATGAAAGAAAAATACACACTCTAATTTAAATAGTTTTTATTAGTAAATAATGATGTTCAAAATAAAATAGTCCCTCTGTTGCCTTCTGCACGAAACATAGTGCGAGGTGGTTGCTATGCAACAACACTAACAACAGCTAGCGAACATATTAGACAGAGAGCGTTGATCCATTATTTGGCTATTTATTTACATTAATGTGTATGTTGCCGTTTATTGTGCACCCACTGAAAAACTGTCCAGCATCAGTAGCATGGCTTACGTGGTTACTTGTATAGGCTGAGGTTGTTCTAGGCTGTTGCTTGGCGTGGCGAGAATATTGCTCCACTTTCTCCGGTCCCCGAGATTCGGCTTCCAGTAGCTCTGGAGAGAGCTTTCGCACCTGTGGCCACTAACGGTCATAATTTCTCTGCTTTGTTTCAAGACCCGCATCAGAAAGCTTTTGAATGGTGATACTTTTCCAGTTGGTCGACCTGCTCTTCACGTAGCTCTACATGTCGTCGTTTAGGTGCTTTTTGTTCTGGAGATAGGCACTCCTCAATCCACTCCTCCATAGTAAGACCCCCCCCCCCCGGAGGTCGAAGTTAATCTTAAATGTTTTTGCGGACCTTTTTGATTACAGATTTGAAAACATCGTTGCTCGCTTTAAAAGTAGCACAATTCATTATGTCAAACCTTGGAAAGTATCTAAATATCCCTGCCCTAATGCCAAAGGAACTGCACACTGAATATGTTTTTGCCGTTTGATGTCTATGTCTGGACCGTTGCGTAAAAAGGAGGGTTTCTGCCCCGTTACTTCTCCGCTGCTTTCTTGTTCCAGTTTGAAAAGCAAACTGCAAGCAGTTTGCTTTTCGGCCCAACTGTATACTGTTTATCTCAGACGCGGAGGGTTACTGAGTTGTTGTGAAAAGTAACTTACAATTCTACCCGTGGTATACGCTCAGTATACCACGGCTAAGAACCAATCAGATTGCTTGATTTTACTTGTCCGTTTTATAATTGTTTCATATACCATGTCAGATGTGTTGCTACGGGCGGATTATTATTCATGCTGGATCTGAGCTGTCATGTTGTGTTGAGTAAACACCTATGCGCAGTCTTGATTTCAACTCTGTTATTATACCAAAAAGCAAAGAAAAAAATGTATAAAGTATGTCATGAATACAGGTGCTGGGGACCTCCTCCCCCCACCACTACACAGCTACACTATCAGTGACAGGCGACATGCACTACACGGTGTATCTCGCCAGCTTCTCCGCACGTGCTCGGGGCAGATTTGCACTTCTCAAGCTTCTTACAGCCAGATTAGCTCCAAAGCTGTAAAACATTACAGCCTGACAGCCGTGATCCTAGACGAGAACCAAGTTTTGCATATTTGAAAGTCTAATGATGAAAAATGTGGGTCAAAAGAGCATTTTGGGTCAGGAGAGGAGATTCTCTTTACATATAAACCCTTGAAATGTTCAGTTAAAGGAACATCAAACCTCCAGTCACCCTGCTTTAATGTTACAGTTCATGACATAACATCACTGATATCTTTACCAATTAACACAGCAGCATATTTTTTGTATTCTACATTTATTGTCAACGCAGCCACTTAAAGGAATGATGCAAAACCGGCTTGACCGATGTCGATGTTTTGGTTAATAAACATAATAATAAATTGTATTTCTATAGCGCTTTAGTTCATCATTAAAAAGCTTTTTCATAACAAAGCATGTCATGATTCAGTTGTGGGGGATTTTCAGTGGTATATGGACATTCAAAAAAAGTGGCCTTTTATGTGCAGACCTACTTGGTTATTCATCTGTTTCTGATCAAAAGACAAACACAATCCAAAACGGAAGAAAAACAAGCTCTCTGAAAGCTTATTAAAAGACACAGATGAGAGAGAAAGGGGCATAAGGACAGTGTAATGAATCATTTATAGTTATTTCATTTGTCATATTTAGTTTGGCATTCCTCCACAAGCCTCATCCCAGGGGAAAAAGATTAAGGAGAAGTGATAACTTCAGATCAATTCCGGAGGGAGAGGGGGAGAAGTACAGAGGGAAGGTGAGACGCATAAGTTTCACATTTTCAAACGCGTGGGTGACAAAGAGAAGCAACGCTAAGTGAGAATGACAGAGCAGGAGACACAAAGCAAAGACAGATGTTAATGTTCAGAGGGAAAGCAAAATCAAAAGAAGGGATCAATGCTCTTTGATGCACCAAAATTAGAAGAATGGCATCATTTAGAATGTTCTCATGACACTGCCTTCACGATCCTAGCTTTTGTGATACATTTTTCATGGAACTTGTTATCCTCTTTTGCACTGGCCTACACATAAATCTTCCTAACACGTTTCAGAACAAAATAAGCGGGGGAAAATGATGAAATCTTCATCATTATCCTGTTTCACATTCATACTGCATGTTTTTATGGAAGATTTACGATGCTCACGTAGACCCAAATCAAACAAGGGGAAAATGTGAAATAAAAAATGTATGCAGGCATTTACTCTGGCATAATTTAGAACAAACAACACGTTAAAAGGCAGTGATTTGTCTTTATTCCTTTAATGTTGATCTGACTGTTTCCATGCTACATGAAAATAATTGCCTCCATAGCACAGGGAAACAAAGTGAGGTGAGAGTCTTATCCCATTTCAGTTTTGTCCCACAGAGATCAGCATGTTAACTAAATGCAAAGCACTGTCATTACTCAGCATAGGAAGGCATGAGGGGGCTTTTTCTTTTGAGAAGACAAAGATGCATCATTCATTTTCCAATTGAAACACAAATAAGCACTCGCAGCTATGGGGCCAAACCGTATCCTTGCTTAAACAAACTGATAGCGGCCATGACAGATATCCTTTCACATTAAAATAGTTCCCTGTGGTCCAAACGGCTGCACGAACACTACATTCAAAAACACATCAAAAATAATTCTCAAATCAAAAATGTGCTGCTAGCTGCAAGCCATCGCCTCGCCATGGACCCTCATTATGAGATACGATAGTTGATTGTTTTAACATTTAATACGATAGTTGATTGGTTTAACATTTAATACGATAGTTGATTGGTTTAACATTTTAAAATGTATGTTGCATCTTCAAACCGCTGTGCCTCTTCAAAGATAAAGTTGTCTTATTATTGACACATTTATGCGCCTCTCTGCTGGAAAACACAGAAATGCAAAACACCTCTTCATTTTGTTTGTGCCATTTTAATGCGGCATATGATAAAACAAACTGATACATAAAAGGGAAATACAAATGACTTTTTCCCTTGTTCGATTTGTTTTCATTTGGTCAATAGAAATCCTCCATTTATCGAAATGATGACTCATTAGATGAAAACACAAGAGGAAAATACACATTTCGATGTATTTCTTGGTGGATTTGTTTTTATTTGGTTGTTATCAATACTCCATATATTTTGAGTTTAAGCTCATGAGTTATCCTGTCAACAGCATTCTCCAGATGCCCTCTGCAGGCGCCCATCGGCTCAGCAGCGTCTCCTCCCACGACTCTGGCTTCGTATCTCAGGACGCCAACACCCACTCCAAGCCTCCGTCACCCATGCCCTCTGACATCGCCAGCCAGGTAGCAAACTCAGCCATAAAACTGAAGTTTATTCTTCAATCAGGAGAAACTAGGGGGGATTATGTCAGCAAAACCAGTAACAAATCAGACTTCCTCTAAATCCCTCAGGCCAAACACACAGAAACACACCACTTTATTGTCAGTGTAGATCTACTACAATTCTCTATACTCTATATAAGATCAATCCTTTTCCATTGGGCACCTTCAATCTTGTCATGTTTGCATTTCAGACAAAAACACATAGGTCTCAATAAGAGAATACATTTTTTTCCCAAACCCAGACAGAGCTTATGGAGTTTTGCTGAAATGTAGGATTGTTATCCTCCAGACTGATAGTTATTCTGACTCTCACGGTCTGAAAAGCGTGCAGAGTACAGAATACACTGGGCACCAACTGATGCAATGTTCTTTTCTGAATAAATGATCTTAGAGGCTACTTTATTTTCGATATAGGCTATGGTCTATAGATCCCCTCAGAGACCAAAATACCTGCCTCCTCCTAAAGCTCATCAACACTCTTCTCCAACTCTCACCCTCTTCCTAATGCATCTCTCATCTCTCACTCCTACCTTCCTCTCCCCTCTTCCTCTTTCCCTTCCACTTTTGTTTTTACTCCATTTTCCATTTCCAAGAAATCAACAAGCTCAGCCTCCTCAGAGGCTTCAGAAACCTGCCTGTCTGTCAGCGAGTGCAACTCTCCCACGGCGGTTAGTACTGCATGCATCTAACCAATCTACTTGCTTTATTGAACACACACACATGCAGTCACACACACAAGCAATGTGCCATGCATTTCACCCGATGTTATCTATAGCTTTAAGAGGCCTGCAGGCTCTTCCTGACAGCCACAGTCTATTCGTGGATGTTGAGCACTCTGACTTGTCTGTCCGTTCTGCAGTTTGGCTCATGCTCATCCTTCGGTACCTTCCGCCCTGCTTTCTCACACACTGGCACCATCAGACCTCTGTCTGTCATACTTCCTGCGTCCCCCACATTTAACCACTCCCCCGGATCCAACACCCCCTCACCCACATCAAAGATTCCTAGCTGGAAGGTTTGTTTTCATTTGCAATTTTACTTTTTTTTTCTTTCTTTTAAAACTTTGTTGCTTCTTTGCCTCTTGTGTTGTATTGCCTTCATGCACATTAATAAGCAACAAGATTAACATCACAGTCACCATTTTGCTGTTGCTCATCAAGCTCAGTTTAGCAATATTTGCTAAACTGAGACCGCTTTATCATTTAACAACACTGGCATAGCTTGGGGCCCATGTCTACATCTGCATCTAACCAGTTCATGAGCCAAACCAGCAGTTTCTGTGTTTAACTGAATTGCACGACTGTTGGGCGGCAAACACTGAAGAGAGGCGCATATTTAGGACAGTCTTCATTGTTCTGTCTGCTGCTGCAGGACTGGGCCAAATCCTGCGAGCCATCACTGGCCAGCACTCTGCAGCGTAGGAGGGAGTCTATGGATAAGATGAGAGAACTGGAGGCTCCGCCCAGTCCACTGGGGTATTCTGGGATGCATCCCGATGATCCACACCGAGCAAGAATGGGCCCAGGAAGCATTGCAGCCAAGGTAAGAAGTCCTCATGGAGTAAAAATGTAAAAGTCAGTATATAAATGTGCCCACCTTTTTAGAATGTTGTGAACTGCATATGTAAATGTGTGCTAATCTTTATGTATTTTCCATCTGCCTGTGTGTGTGTGCTTCAGCATGGTGAGGCGCTCTCTCCGGCAGCCACTAATCTGGCCATGGTCCTGACCAGAGGCCTCAGTATGGAGCAGCAGAAGAGCAGCAGGGACTCTCTGCAGTACTCCAGCGGCTACAGCACCCAGACCAACACCCCATCCTGCTCCGAGGACACCATACCCTCCCAAGGTAACCCGTCCTTAACAGTTCTTCAGGGTCAAACATACATGGTTAGGCCAGTCACGATATTACGTTATTCATAAATCGCACGGTATATCAAATGTTCTTATGGATGAAAATGTCATTGCTCTTTCTAAGGGTGTACTTGCATCATTAAGCTTTTATATAATCATATTAATGCCATAAAATATTCCTGAAATAACAGTAAGATTGTTATCGCAATAGTTTTCTTGGACAATACATTGTCTTTATACATTTCTGAAACATACTTGTGTATTTTGAACAAGATATAATTTCTTCAAGATAACAACCTCAAACAAAGTTGTTTTCTGTATTCATTATTATTATTATTAATCTAGATGCTCATGACTCACTGTCACCTCATGACTCCCTGTCACCTCATGACTCCCTGTCACCTCAGGTTCGGATTATGAATGCTACTCTCTCAATGGGGATGCTGACAGCGAAGGACAGGCAGACTTTGACAAGTCCTCCACCATCCCACGCCACAGTAACATCGCTCAGAGCTACCGCCGCATGATCCAGACCAAGAGGCCTGCCAGCACCGCAGGTCTGCCTGCAGGTAAGACCCTGCAGGGCACTACAAACGGTGCAGGGGGGAGCAGCTCCGCAGTCATCACCTCAGGGACGGCCACCATTCGCCGGACGCCATCTTCCAAAACTGGGGTGAGACGGACGCCATCCACAACTGGCCCCATTCCCATCCGGCCCCCCATCGTGCCGGTTAAGACCCCCACAGTGCCAGATTCCCCGGGCTATGGCAGCCCGTCACAGTACCATGCCGGCAGCGAGGAGTTTCTGTACGGTGATGACCCAACTGCTGGTGACTACATGAGGGCTTCTCCAAAGCGGATGAGCCTCCCCGACACAGCCTGGGGCTGTGGAGGAGGGGCGGACAGGACCCTTTACACCCAGCAGGCCCTGGGCATGGCCGCCCACAGCGCTGAGGAAGACCCTCAGCTCGCTGCCAACCGCCACAGCCTGGTGGAGAAGATAGGGGAGCTGGCAGCCAGCGCAAACGCCCTCGGTGAGGGGAACTTCTCTTTCCACAGCCCACTGCCAGGGGATCCGGCTCGGTGTGTGCCGCAGGAGCCGTCCTCCACTACCCAGGAGGACAAGGATATGCTGGTGTCTATACGCCGGGGAGTGAAGCTCCGCAAGTCAGTGACTGATGACAGGTCGGCTCCCAGGTTCTTTCGGTAGCTGTCGGAGAAGAAGGCTGTGAGGAGGCAGCCGTGGTGCCCTTATTTACAAACTGAAGCTTTGTAGTGAGATGAAACAGCACTCATGTGACACATAAACTGAGGTACAAGTTATAAAGAGGATGTAATGTGGTAAATGAAGGCCAGTTCACAGAGTAAAGAGTGGACAACGTTAAGTCAATTAATGTCTTGTATGTATTGCGTACGTACAAAGTAATCCATATTCTTTTGGTTTTTATTCTTCTCTTTTGTTATTGTCTGTGGGCTTTGTGGCTGTGCTCTCTGCTCCCTGTGTGGCTGCTTGTTTCAGCCCAGTTTGTTCCCTATTGCCCCAGTGATGAGGATGTCACTGCTGTAGGGATCGAATGCTTTGTGTCTTTGTTTTTCTTGCTCTTATGATTATTATAATATTGTGCATTTCTTAATTAACAAAGGCCGCCTGTCAGTAAAAAGTGATGGGCACAGTGCTCTGTGAGCCTGTTTGTATGTTGTGTTTCTCATCATTACTGTACAAGTACCGTATTACTGTTTTTGTTTAATAAGCTGAGCAGCAGCTGTGTAAGTCATGTAAAATAGAAGCAATATGGCAGTGCTTTTATTGCTGTACTGTACTGTCAATATATTCTGCAATTAAACAGGCTTTTTACTGTTAAATTGCTTGATTGTCTTTGTCAAAAAGGTATACAGAAACTATTTCATCCATTGTGCAAACAATGCAGACAATTTCTTAGTTTTAGGTATTCACCAAATTGTATTAGATTACCAATATATGTAAATCTATTTTTCAATTTGTTTTTATTTTCATCTCTTTAGATTTATGTAACCATCATTGTTTATTAGAAATGCATTCCTTCTGAGCTTTCTCTACTTCACATTTTATACTGCACTTAAACTTAGTATGTTATGATTTGTGTAGTACTGTAATCTTTATTTTCCAGCGGTCTGTGTGCGGTTGTTTTATCTGAAACCCAATTCAATTAGTTTTTCCTGGTAATTTTCTGCTCAATTCACTATAACATTGCCTGCAGTTGTACTATTTACAACACTGCACTGAAAACAGAGGGGGGCGCCAGAGCCCCTTCACTGTGGCCGAGCTAAATGGCGCCAACAGGAAACAGAAATGGAAGATATCAACATTACGGTCAGTAGAGACATTTGGCTGGCAGGAGAGATGAGCGATACATGGGATGAAGAAGAAAGAAAGAAAGACTGTAAGCACGTCTCACAGTTCACAGCCTCCAGAACAAACCACATTCATGTTACACCATGAGCACCAACAAGCTAGCATAGCCTACTCTTGTTTCAAAAGCACAACAAACATGGCCAAAACCGCAGGCTACCTCTTCACATTAATGACGTCAACTGTGCAAAAATAAACATTTTACGTAAACTGTCCCAGAGATTATATTTTTCAACAGTATATAGTCCACATTATAGGTAGAAGGGGGCAAAGGTGGAAGAAGTACTCAGTTCTTGTATTTAAGTAGGTACCAGAGAGAAGAAATACTCTTTTATAAGTGAAAGTCCTGCATTCAAAATGTTATTCAAGTAAAAGAACAAAAGTATTAGCATCAAAATATACTTAAAGTGCCATAAGTAGGAGTACTCATGCATATCTGCCCATTTCAGAATAATATATGTTATATGTTTTGATTATAATTATTGATGCATTAAAGCAGTGGTTCTCAAACTTTTTCTGTCTTTGGAGAAAAAAAAAAGTCGGGCCCCCCCAACACAAGTCAGGCTCAGTGGCGGCGCCAGAGATTTATTTTGGGGGTGCTGTGGGGTAGCTTGACGTTTCATAGAGGGTGCTCAAACATTTAGGGTTTCCCATTAATGTACCGGTCGCTACAGTGGAATTTTCTACTGCAACACTCCCCACGCAAATACACAGTGTACCCGCGACTGTTACAATGAAGGCTCGATAATCAGCTCACGGCATATAGGTGTAAGCAGGGGTAAAGTGCTATTTTTATATTCCATGTGGTTGAATTCAGGTGGTGTGTGGACCTAAACATAGGGGGGTCCGAATAAGCTCCCCCGGGAAGATTTATTTTTAAATATTGAAGTTAAATGCATCAATCTGGATACCTCTCTCAACACCCATATGAAACAGAACTGTAAACAGATTTACTTTTTCTTTATGGATATTTTACAAATCACCCTTTTAAACTTTATTCTTTTTTTACTGTCATATAGTATTTCATACCTGTTTTTCATTTATTCTCTTTTTTTTTTTATCAACTATAATGATCATATAAACGTGTGCCTCGGAAATAATTGTTTACATTAATGGTGACCAAAACGTTTGAGACCCACTGAGATAACACTGAGAGAGTCCTTTAGCTCACTGAGCCTCTCAGTCTGACAGGAGAGGACTCTCCTCCACTTTGTTGTTGAAAAAACTCCTTATATCCGTTAGCGTAGCTCGCTAGCACCAGAAGCTAACAACAACGATCTCCGGTACCGGTGCGCTCTCTCTCTCGCTCGCGCACGCACACAAAATGGCTCGTTCCACACACACACAGAGCAGAGCTTTAATGAAACACAGAGACCCAGACGTAATAGTACTGTATCATATTATTTTCGAATCAATAATTTTTCAAATTATGATTTTTTTTTTTTTTTTTTTATCTTTTAAAAAAATATATTTAATAACCATTTTTCCTCCTGGTCTCTCGCGCCACCCCTGTCATGCCTCTGCGCCCCCCACTTTGGGAACCACTGCATTAAAGTGTTTATCAAAGGTGGTAAAGGTGGAGCTAATTTACATTTCGTTTTATACTGCAGGGTAGTTTGTGAATTTTACTCCAGGTGTAACTAAAGTGTTTACGTGTAGATTTTATTTGACATCATTAATCCAAATCTGTAAAGTAACTAAAGGTATTAAATACATGTAGTCTAGTAAAAGTACACTATTTACTTCTGAATTGTAGTGGGGTAGAATCTTTATATATACAGTCTATGGGTAGAATAAGGCAGGCACAAAATTGAAATACTCAAGTAAAGTACAAGTCCCTCAAAATTGTACTTAAGTGCAGTACTTGAGTACAATTAGTTACTTTACACCACTGGAAGCAGGCTATTTAAAATGTATATTCCCTGGCATGTATTATTCTTTAAATTATTGGTCCTGGGAAAACAACTTATAAATTGACTGTGCAAAGCTTTTTACCCCCATGGACAACAGTGATGATAAACAACAGGTCGTTTTCTGGATAACCGACTTATATTGGAGTGCACTACTGTGTGTAATATGTGCATAAAGTCCATTTCAAATAACTCTTAAGAAGCATGATAACAGTAAACCTTGGACAAACAACAATAGAGTATAAGTGGAGGAATGAGGCATTTTCAAGATATATGAATATTGGTGCCCTATTTTAATTCCTCTGAGTCATCCCTGATAGAGCTCGCTGATATACAAATAAAATTGGAGGCTGAGAAGGTCTGAATAGGACCACATTATAAAAAAAAAATCAGACAGTTGGATCCAGTGGGCTATCTATAATGAGGGCTGGATGTTTCTTGTTTTGGTCCCATGAGTAAATCCTATAGCAGGACCATCACAAGTGAAGGAATGAATAAATCTGCCTGGCATAGGAAGACTCAACGTCATAATCCCCCCCAGCCTCATAAATAGCTCATCATTGAATTTACACTATTAGCCTTGAACTGGCCAAGTAATGGAATTTGGCTGGGGCTTGCTTGGATAATTAACTGAGAAAAGAATTTAGGAGTTTGGTTTGAATCCGAGTCTATGTTCTCACTCTCTTAACTGTGTTTCAAAGAGAACATCATCACTGCCAAAAAAATCTCACCTCTTAGTTGGGTAGAGCGAGAGGGACACCAAGCTCTGCTAATTTTCATTTTCTTCTCTTTTTCAACGCCTTTTGATGATGTGAGGAATCTTTTAATGTGCTATTAGGGAGCCGTGATTGTCGTAGGCTAAGAATGAGATAGTGTTCAAATCAATGAACGTTTCTTAGTGTGCTAATCACTTGGACAACCCCGGGCTACACTAATCAGAATGTAGATATAATAAAAGCACTCCTCAGACAACATTTGGCCCTGAAGTTTGCGCATTTCTTCTTTTTTTTTATCAAAACAACAGGCCATGCATTAATCATGAAATTCTTTTTGGCTTTTTCAGACGAAGTGGCTGCCGTTTTATTTGCTGTTTTATCGTTTTGCTTAGTCTGTCATTGAACAAACATCAGCTCTTATCTTATGAGATGTGACATTCTAAGGAAAAGGCTAAAATATGCTGGGTAATTGGATGCTTTGGTTTTGTTGCTGTTTTTCTCACACCTGACATTTTCAAAACCCAAATTCTGAACCAGGTTGATCACGTCGTTCCATAATTAATACCTCTATTAATAAACAGTTCTACAGCACTGCTTAAGCACTACAGTAGGTGGTAGGAGCCCTTAGGGGATCACAGATCAAATCTAATTAGCCGTACCTAATACATGTGGGAAATGTCTTTATATTTATCCAGCTCCTTTAAATGCTTTCTGCCTTCAGGTAGTGATGAGGGAAAATGTCCTGAGGGGCTCGTATACAAAGGAACGCGATGATGAATGTTACTATAGAGCTGCTGCTCCTGTCGTGCTGTTGCCAGAAATGTCTCTTTGCAGCTCTTCAATGGGAACATGTGGGGTAAGATTTCCTTAAATGTTCTCAGACGCATAACAACCAGAGATGCTTAGTCATCCATCGTAATTGTCCCGTCATTCTTTAATAAACTTGCCTTTTGCCACCAATTATTTCATTGACTTTCGGCAAGAACACTTTTTTAAAGACTTTTTAAACACTCTATGGCTTAAATTGCCTATTAACTGATGCTAGTTCCAAGTACTCCAGACATTATTTGCACCCATTTCCTGTTTGTTTGTGTGGATTTTTTCCCCCTCTGCTTTTCCAGGAAGAATAATGTACATTATGGGATCTCCATCCCCTTAAATCCCATCATCCCCTGTCTCTAAGGAGCACAGAAGCAGCAGTAGAATGTTTTAAATGCTACAAGGCTACAACCTTCGCCTTCAAAAGCTAGGTCTGCCTCTGTTGAAGTGAGGGGAATGGATTCGGTCAATTATTCATTAAGTAAGCATGAAGCTTTCTAATGTTCGTCGGCTGCTCTCTTCACTGAGATTTTCTCCCTTTAATGCCCTGCAGCTCTCACTTATCTGTCGAAGAGGGATGATGAGACTGTTTCATGATATTGTAATATATATATTTTTGAATTCATTAAAGCTTTGTTGTTTTTTATGTGGTGTATGTTGGTGTTTTATCTCACAGGATAACTGCTGCAACCCTTAAGTAAATTATCCCTCTCACTCTGGCCTGGCCCTGTGATCGAATTAGCCTTTGCTACAGCTATCTCCCATGCTGGCAGTCACGGTGAATTTTACCATGTGAGGCAACATGATAAAAGACAGGGTTTGATTTGCATTCATGAAGCACTTACGAAGTTCAAAGAGAAGTTACACAGAGCAAAATTGAGAGTGCTGAGGCCTCAGACAGTTCACACAGGGTCTATTTTACATATCACAATTTCACCTCTAAATGTTACAAGCGGTCATTTCCCGTCACTAGGCTCCCTGTCACAGTTTGCTCTGAGGCTATTTTGTTGCACATATTTTTGAAATGCCTCCCCTCCTCAGGTCAGACACCAGCGAGCGTGGGATGGCTCATGTGTTGTGGTGACACAGCCCACAGCTTGCACCGCGTGAAAGAAAACAGCGATCAACCAATATGAGCTTTGTGCTCCAGCTGCAGGCTGTGATTCAAAATTGTCTCGGGGCTCACACCGACAGTTACCGGAGTTATTGCCTGAAAAGAACAGTTTACTGCAGAGGGTGGATTGGGCTAAAATTGCAGTGATGGATTGTGGTTGCAAATTGATAAGGATCCTTCAGCGGGAGCTTTGATGAGTTTCCAAACTGAATACAGATGTAGCCTATGTGTGTGAGCGGAGGAATGGCATTGAATTACTTGTCCAGCATAACACCACATCCCTCATTGCATATGAATATTGATCCATGCCGGTCTTAACGCAAAGGTTGACATGACATGGGAGACAAACTCGATAGGGTGTGCAGCCGTGCTCTCTTACCCATTATTTTTCTTTTTGACGATTCAGAGCCTTACTGTCAATGTAATATTTAGTCTCCTGACTTGTCAGAGAAGTGAGGGGAATTGGAAGTATGCAGTTGGCGGAAATTAGCAGCAGACACCTACAGATTAGGTTTAGAGTGCTCTTGGTTCTAGACAGGCGGACGGAAGGGGGAGGGAAGGGAGAGCAATCAGGGTGAAGATGTTTCTGTGAACTTTGGTTTGCAAAGACGTAAGAAGCTGCATCATTGGCTGTCTTATGCAACAGCAATATCATTTATATTGATGCATTACCCAGTTTTTTTCTTCAAGCTGTAAATATTGTGTGCAGATCTGTTTTGCAGGAATGCAG